TTGCCAAGAAATGGATGACAAAGACAATGGCCTCTTTCATTTCAATCCCTTTTTGTATTTCTTTGTATATTGCCTTTGAAAAAAAAATTATCTATTGTCGTTAGAAACCTATGGTCTTGTGTTAAGCAGTTTACTTGCCACACATAGCATTGTTACTTGAGTTTATTGTCGCTATTATGAAAACAATCTTTGTCTGTTCTTTGCCAAGAGAGATGAAAGAGAAGATAAAAAAAAAAGCTAAATAGATCCATGACATAAAGATGTTCAAACAAAATGCCTATGAAAGAAAAAAAATATAAAAAAAAAAGCAAATAAAGAAAAGTTACAGGCAAAATATGATCTTGATCCTGTTCAGGGCAAAGAATGGTGCCGATAAACGTTTCGTGTCGCCACTAGCTTGGTTCCTTCAGACGCAACACCCTATTATACACTGTATCAAGCGAAAGTCAGTTTATTTTTCATATCGGATTTATTATACGAGAGGACAGATGTGGTAGCACTGATTAGAGGGGGAAATTAATGCAGTCTCCTTGACATAGCATCTTGCCACGTGCGGGCTAGGGTCTCTAAGGAATCTGGGTGCAGAAGGCCTGTTGACTCTCCAAAATTCACGACACGTAAGGTTAAAAATTCAATTTTAAAAATGACAAATCTTTCTTGAATTTTTTTTTTTTTTTTTTTTTTTTTTTTTTTTTTTTTTTAAATTTTTTAATTTCAAATAAGCAAAGTATTTTCCATTCAAAATTAATTTAATTGATTAAATTTAATAAAAATTTCAAATAAGCAAAGTATTTTGCTCTATTTCAAAATTAATTTAAATTGACTGGAAGGAGGTTTTTATTTTTCTAAAAACTGATTTTCAGCGCCATCGTAATAATATTTGATTTTATCGGAACGTATTTCGCTTTATTGAAAAAGTCTTCCAAAAACAAAATATATTTTCCTGAAACGTTATTTGAGGAATATTAGCTGATTTAACGTATAATTAATCTGATTTGAAAACAAATATTATTTACTTTAAGTTTAAAATAGTGATTTTCCATTAACCATTACACCGCCTCGAGGTGCCCAATAGTGATTTTCCAAGCGTAGCTTGGATGTGGCACAAGGCCGAAGGTAAGGGGCACCCAGTGATGATCGAACTCACTGGATATCATACTGTTAGCGAGACAAGCTTGCTAACCATTACAAACGCCTTTTATCGAGGTGCCCAATAGTGATTTTCCAAGCGAAATTTCAACCACCTGATGAAGGCCGGGAGCGTACAAGGCCGAAACGTCAAAATAAATATGGCGACAAAGATGAGGAACGAACTCATAAAACATTCAGTATAATTTTTAAGAACTCCTAATTTAAAATTCTACTAATGTTTTAATGGATTTTAGAGACAAATTTTTATAATCATTACACCGACTCTTTTAAAGGTGCCCAATAATTGTCCTATTTTTTCAATTTTTAAATATAGATTTATTAGCTTAGATGTGGAATTTTAAATGATTTAAAACTTAAGGCCTAATTAAGATTAAAAGAAATGTAGGCAGCTATAGGTGAGGAACGAACTCACTACTCAGTCGTAATTGTTCTATCGAAAGATAAATGATAAATCTTGGTTAACCATTACACCGCCTCGAGGTGAAATGTATGAATATTCTTTTTCCTCTAGTTATGGGTAAAAGCGTAGCATTGAGATTGTCTACCGCAGAAAGAAAGGCCGAAAGTATGAAGCACCCAGTAAGGATCGCTAAACCCACTCCCCCAGCTATGGGTACAAAGGAAAGATCGGGTTATATAGCCTTGGATGGCAATTGGTCTACCGCAGAAAGTTAAGGCAACCTACCGCGGGAAAAAAATCTGCCTCGTCAGTCATGTATCAAAAAATACATGACCGCCTACGCGTGTATCACGCATGACATATAACGTACTGAATGACGTGCTAATACCGTTGGGAAAGGTATGAATCCTCTTCTTCTCCCCCTCCTCCAAAGCTATGGGTAAATGGCAGGATAAATCGGGTTCTGTAGCCTTAGATGGCGACTGGCTTACTGCAAAAAGAAATGGAACTTACTTCGAGAAAAAAAAAATCTGCCTCGTCAGTCATGTATCAAAAAATACATGACCGCCTACACGTGTATCACGCATGGCATATAACGTACTGAATACCGTTGGGAAAAGTTATGAATCCTCTTCTTCTCCCCCACCCACAAAAGCTATGGGTAAATGGCAGGATAAATCGGGTTCTGGAGCCTTGGATGGCAAGTGGCTTACCGCAGAAAGAAATGGAACTTACTGCGAGAAAAAAAAAAAAAACTGCCTCGTCAGTCATGTATCAAAAAATACATGATCGCCTATTTTTAACTAATGTAAATATATGTGTTTGAGATTCAATGAAGATATGCTGAGAGTACAGAGAAGCCAGAAAACAATTATCCGATCTGTGTACCAATACGTCAAGAAAAGGCAATGCCATATGTTTTTTCTTCTTACCTGTGAATCTTAAAGCCGGGTGCAAATCCTTAAGTAACCCATGAAACGCTTGTGATCGTTCTTCTCTGTCAAAGACAAACAACGTGCCATACGCATATCTGTAACACAATTTTGAGATATGATTTATAAATATTTAAAGATAAAAGACGTTTCTATCCGAATCAAAACATATCGGACAATTATAGTGAGAATCAGAAAATGAATTTTAGAATAGAATGTTTTTATCACTTTAAACATGATTTTTAGTGGACACTCTTTCGTCTTCCGGCTTTGTTGTTCGAGAAATGTTATTAAAGAAAAACTTTCACTCACCGAAAGGATGTGAACCTGCGTCGCTCAGAGAAGTGGAAGCTACCGTTAAGCCCCGTACGCCTTAATCAACATGGACACGAAGAGCAGTTGAAATGTCCGGGACATATAACGAGGAAAGAGGACCTGGAGAATTTAACACTTACATAACAGACTGAAGTCAAGCGGGACAGAACAAAATAGGGAATAACATACCTAACGAGCATTGATAAACGGCTTGCAGAACAGGGATTATTTGATATAGCAAAATGATAAATTTTCTTGAGTGCTACAAAAGGCAAGAGATTGTGGGGAGCCATGATCTTTAATGTTTTCAAGGTACAAAACGTATAGAAGAAGAATATTCTCATTCGCTGATATAAGAATGCTAGAGCAAAGCAGGGAATTTACCTAATGACCTTGTGTAAATGGAATTATAGAACATAGACCAGTAATGATATTAAGGACGCAGGACCACCCTGATTAAACATTATTTTTAGTGAAACGCTTGGTTGATTAGACGCTCCGATTATTTATTAAACGGTATGTTTATTTAATTTTCGTTTTCCGGCTTAGATGTTCGAGAAATATTATTAAAAAAAAACTCACTCTCCGGCGGGATTCAGACCTGCATCCCTCAGAGAAGTGAAAGCTACCGTTAAGCCCTGTACGCCTTAATCGACATAGACACGAAGAGAAGTTGAAATATCAGGGACATATAATGCCAGAGCAAAGAAAGGGAATCTACAAAACGTATAGGAGAAGAATATTCTCAGTCGCTGATATAAGATGCTACATGAATGCCAGAGCAAAGCAGGGATTTTACCTAAAGATCTTATGTAAATGGATGACAGACCATAGACTAGTAATGATATTAAGGACACAGGGCAATCTTGATTGTCCCTGTTGTCAACGGGCCCGACTAATAAACGAAGTACCCCGCAAAATATTTTTCACCTAAATCTTTCCGCTGTAGTTCTCCTCAGAATTGTGCATTACCAAATATTCCTTCAGATATTACAAAAATATGTGTGGAAGTGGATCGATATGTGAATCTCTGTGCGCAAATATTTCAGGCGCTTACCCAAGCGACAAATAAGGCGGACGTCAGAGGAAATGCATAAGTAATTCGACAGATATTTTATGAGATTTGCTATCAGTTTAAAAAGTAATGCTTATAAGACAATGTTTATAAGGTAAAGAAATGTCTTCTTTTTCATGTTCTTTTTTGTTTCATTTTTTTTTAATGGGATGCATCGGTTCGTTTTGCTGAACCACTGTCGATAAAATGGCGGACGTGGGCAATTCACGTTTGATGAGGAAGACTGCAGGAAATGATTGCAAGATCTGAAATCAAATTCAACACTGCGCCTGTTACATTCGTTTCATACTTATGTATTATTCCATCTATTCTTTTATTATCCATATGTTTAATAGTAGAGTAGCCTGGGTTGGTGAACTTTACCCCCTTGCAGCCTCGAAGATAAAAAAAACTTCGAATTCCAAACCGTCGAGATGTGTCACTTACTACGTCTGCTGAAGGAAAGATTGGTTCACTGTGTCGTACCCGCCCTAATTGTCTCCTTAGAATCCATCTTGCATATTTATTCGTCCGTGTATTGAATATTGCTATCATATCTGCTTCTACTGTGTATCTCGAGATTCTTAAAAAAAAATCAAAAGAAAGATCTGCAATTCAATAGATCCTGACCTGGCATCTCGTATCCAGTCACTTTCTTCTCGATGTGACATGGCTTCCCTCTTCACATTTTCACGACAACTGCTGGAATGAGCTTTTTCCTTGGCGCCTGTCTTTTTGAAACGTGTCCCCTTTTTGACCTTTCCTCAATCCTCCACATGTTCAATCTTCTCTTTCACTTTCACTTTCACTTTCACTCTCTGTAATCTTCGGCGTCCTAGTAGCATTTTTTTCCTTGCTTGGGGGTGAGGCGATAAAAAAAAACAGAAAAAAACCTAGTAGCCACGCATCATCTTTTACAAAACTGGCATATCTTTGATATTAAGAGAAAGAAAGCCGTGGAGATTCATTACAATATAGGGAATTAAGAGATGTGAACCAAACTGAACCAAATATATAGAAATTAAAAACGTTTAAGACTTAAACGGATGGGAAAGTTCTCACGAATACGGTCGCCAAAAAGATACCCCCCTCCCAAACGAGAACATTGAAATGTTAAAGTCTAGTTTTTATAACTTATATTATTGGCATGCGACCATAACTCGTTACAACACCGGTTCTCTTCTGATCCCCTAAGGTAAGCAACGTTGAACCTGGTCAGTAGAAAGATGGGTGACATCTCGGAAATACCAGGTGTTATAAAATATATTGTTGGTATTTCTACAATAAAATGTATTGCTGGTCATGTATTTTTTTTTATATTTTCATAGTATTTTATTTTTGTTTGAAGAGGTTAAATATTTGTCCATAGCTAGGACCCTAACAGATGCTACAACCCCCGGTCAGGTTGAACCTGAGAACAACAGAAATTAAGGTGGTGAGGATTAATGAAAAATTTTCACTACGGTATGTTTAATTTTATTTCTTTTTTAACCTTTCTTTTTCTGTGTGCCGGCTCCTTTCAGGACGTTGGCAATCCGAAAAACGTCGTCTCTTTTTAAGATCTTAATATATTTTGTCTTTGCTATCTCTACTAAATCCGCCATCCATTTATTCAGGCAGGCCAGACTTTGATTTTATTTTCCGTCTCCCTTTCGTCACTGTCCTGTGAGTATCAGATTTTCCAAGCTCTTCTTTTTTTCATATTCTGTGACCTAGAAAATGATATGCCCGAGAAAATTCAACTGTCGCTTTCTGATGTCAGGTATAATTGGCCTTTTTTTGTTCATATATTTTGGTATTTTCACCACTTTTGTGTTCTTCAAGTCTCTTCGTTATCTTTGTTCTTCAGTACCATTTTCTTTGTTTGTATTGATTCAAGGTGCTTCATCTGCGAGGAGACTGTCCAGCATTCGCTGCCATATAGGAGGATTGATATTATGTTACAGTTCAGTACCCTTTTCTTGGTTTCTATTGCCTAAAGTCTCTTCTTCATTCATTAGGAGACTGACCAGCATTCGCTGCCATATAGGAGGATTGATATTATATTACAGTTCAGTACCCTTTTCTTGGTTTCTATTGCCTCAAGTCTCTTCTTCATTCATTAGGGAGACTGTCTAGCATTCCTTTGCCATATAGGAGGATTGATATTATATTACAGTTCAGTACCCTTTTCTTGGTTTCTATTGCCTTTTCATTCATTAGGAGACTGTCCAGCATTCGCTGCCATATAGGAGGATTGATATTTGTTACAGTTCAGTACCCTTTTCTTGGTTTCTATTGCTTCAATTCTCTTCTTCATTTATGAGGAGACTGTCCAGCATTCGCTGCCATATAGGAGGATTGATATTATATTACAGTTCAACCCTTTTCTTGGTTTCTATTGCCTCAAGTATCTTCTTCTTCATTCATTGACTGTCCAGCGTTCGCTGCCATATAGGAGGATTGATAATGTTACAGTTCAGTACCCTTTTCTTGGTTTTATTTCAAGTATCTTCTTCATTCATTAGGAGACTGTCCAGCGTTCGCTTATAGGAGGATTGATATTATGTTACAGTTCAGTACCCTTTTCTTGGTTTCTATTGCCTAAAGTCTCTTCTTCATTCATTAGGAACTGTCAGCATTCGCTGCCATATAGGAGGATTGATATTATGTTACAGTTCAGTACCCTTTTCTTGGTTTCTATTGCCTCAAGTTTTCTTCATTCATAAGGAGACTGTCCAGCGTTCGCTGCCATATAGGAGGATTGATATTATCACAGTTCAGTACCCTTTTCTTGGTTTCTATTGCCTCAATTCTCTTCTTCATTCATTAGGAGACTGTCCAGCATTCGCTGCCATATAGGAGGATTTGATATTATGTTACAGTTCAGTACCCTTTTCTTGGTTTCTATTGCCTCAAGTCTCTTCTTCATTCATTGGAGACTGTCCAGCGTTCGCTGCCATATAGGAGGATTGATGTTATGTTACAGTTCTACCCTTTTCTTGGTTTCATTGCCTCAAGCCATCTTCTTCATTCATTAGGAGACTGTCCAGCATTCTGCCATATAGGAGGATTGATATTATTTACAGTTCAGTACCCTTTTTCTTGGTTTCTATTGCCTCAAGTATCTTCTTCATTCATTAGGAGACTGTCCAGCGTTCGCTGCCATATAGGAGGATTGATATTATGTTACAGTTCAGTACCCTTTTCTTGGTTTTTATTACCTCAAGTCTCTTTTCTTGTCCAGCGTTTGCCATATAGGAGGATTGATATTATATTACAGTTCAGTACCCTTTTCTTTGGTTTCTATTGCCTAAAGTCTCTTCTTCATTCATTAGGAGACTGTCCAGCATTCAAATGCCATATAAGGCCATTATAGGAGTTCAGTACCCTTTTCTTGGTTTCTATTGCCTCAAGTCTCTTTATTCATTACAGTTCAGCCATATGGGAGGATTGTGGTTTTTCTTGGTTTGGTTTCTATTGCCTCAAGTCTCTTCTTCATTCATTGGGAGACTGTCCAGCATTCGCTGCCATATAGGAGGATTGATATTATGTTACAGTTCAGTACCCTTTTCTTGGTTTCTATTGCCTAAGTATCTTCTTCATTCATTAGGAGACTGGATTGCTGCCATATTATTGATATTATGTTACAGTTCAGTACCCTTTTCTTGGTTTCTATTGCCTCAAGTCTCTTCTTCATTCATTAGGGAGACTGTCAGCATTTGCCATATAGGAGGATTGATTATGTTACAGTTCAGTACCCTTTCTTGGTTTCTATTGCCTCAATTATCTTCTTCATTCATTAGGAGACTGTCCGGCGTCATTGCCATAGGAGGATTGATGTTCTACCCTTTTCTTGGTTTCATAAAGTCTCTTCTTCATTATTAGGGGAGACTGTCCAGCATTCGCTGCCATATAGGAGGATTGATATTATATTACAGTTCAGTAGTTGGTTTCTATTGCCTCAAGTATCTTCTTCATTCATTTGGTTTTGCCATATAGGAGGATTGATATTATGTTACAGTTCAGTACCCTTTTCTTTGGTTTCTATTTCATCTTCATTCATTAGAGACTGTCCAGCGTTCGCTGCCATATAGGAGGATTGATATTATATTACAGTTCAGTACCCCTTTTCTTGGTTTCTATTGCCTCAAGTATCTTCTTCATTCATTGGGAGACTGTCCAGCGTTCGCTGCCATATAGGAGGATTGATATTATGTTACAGTTCAGTACCCTTTTCTTGGTTTCTATTGCCTCAAGTATCTTCTTCATTCATTAGGAGACTGTCCAGCGTTCGCTGCCATATAGGAGGATTGATATTATATTACAGTTCAGTACCCTTTTCTTGGTTTCTATTGCCTCAAGTATCTTCTTCATTCATTAGGAGACTGTCCAGCGTTCGCTGCCATATAGGTAGATTGATATTATGTTACAGTTCAGTACCCTTTTCTTGGTTTCTATTGCCTCAAGTATCTTCTTCATTCATTAGGAGACTGTCCAGCGTTCACTGCCATATAGGAGGATTGATATTATATTACAGTTCAGTACCCTTTTCTTGGTTTCTATTGCCTCATTCTTCTTCATTCATTAGGAGACTGTAGCGTTCGCTGCCATATAGGAGGATTGATATTATGTTACAGTTCAGTACCCTTTTTCTTGGTTTCTATTGCCTCAAGTATCTTCTTCATTCATTAGGGAGACTGTTATATTCGCTGCCATATAGGAGGATTGATATTATATTACAGTTCAGTACCCTTTTCTTGGTTTCTATTGCCTCAAGTCTCTTCTTCATTCATTAGGAGACTGTCCAGCATTCGCTGCCATATAGGAGGATTGATATTATGTTACAGTTCAGTACCCTTTTCTTGGTTTCTATTGCCTCAAGTATCTTCTTCATTCATTAGGAGACTGTCCAGCATTCGCTGCCATATAGGAGGATTGATATTATGTTACAGTTCAGTACCCTTTTCTTGGTTTCTATTGCCTCAAGTCTCTTCTTCATTCATTAGGAGACTGTCAGCATTCGCTGCAATATAGGAGGATTGATATTATGTTACAGTTCAGGTGCCCTTTTCTTGGTTCTATTGCCTCAAGTCTCTTCTTCATTCATTAGGAGACTGTCCAGCATTCGCTGCCATATAGGAGGATTGATATTATATTACAGTTCAGTACCCTTTTCTTGGTTTCTATTGCCTCAAGTATCTTCTTCATTCATTAGGAGACTGTCCAGCGTTCGCTGCCATATAGGAGGATTGATATTATGTTACAGTTCAGTACCCTTTTCTTGGTTTCTATTGCCTCAAGTATCTTCTTCATTCATTAGGAGACTGTCCAGCGTTCGCTGCCATATAGGAGGATTGATATTATGTTACAGTTCAGTAGTACCCTTCAAGTAACTTTTTTCATTCATTAGGAGACTGTCCAGCGTTCGCTGCCATATAGGAGGATTGATATTATATTACAGTTCAGTACCCTTTTCTTGGTTTCTATTGCCTCAAGTATCTTCTTCATTCATTAGGAGACTGTCCAGCATTCGCTGCCATATAGGAGGATTGATATTATATTACAGTTCAGTACCCTTTTCTTGGTTTCTATTGCCTCAAGTATCTTCTTCATTCATTAGGAGACTGTCCAGCGTTCGCTGCCATATAGGAGGATTGATATTATGTTACAGTTCAGTACCCTTTTCTTGGTTTCTATTGCCTCAAGTCTCTTCTTCATTCATTAGGAGACTGTCCAGCATTCGCTGCCATATAGGAGGATTGATATTATATTACAGTTCAGTACCCTTTTCTTGGTTTCTATTGCCTCAAATCTCTTCTTCATTTATGAGGAGACTGTCCAGCATTCACTGCCATATAGGAGGATTGATATTATATTACAGTTCAGTACCCTTTTCTTGGTTTCTATTGCCTCAAGTCTCTTCTTCATTCATTAGGAGACTGTCCAGGCTGCCATATAGGAGGATTGATATTATGTTACAGTTCAGTACCCTTTTCTTGGTTTCTATTGCCTCAAGTCTCTTCTTCATTCATTAGGAGACTGTCCAGCGTTCGCTGCCATATAGGAGGATTGATATTATGTTACAGTTCAGTACACTTTTCTTGGTTTCTATTGCCTCAAGTCTCTTCTTCATTCATTAGGAGACTGTCCAGCGTTCGCTGCCACATAGAAGGATTCATATTACATAACAGTTCAGTACCTTTTTCTTTGTTTCTGCTGTGTCAAGTATCTTCTTCACTTCTGAGGAACTTGTCCAGCATTCACTGCCATATAG